CCTTTAGTCTTAATCGGTAGGCCTACTTGATTAACAATGTCCGGAATATAAAGTACAATGTTGCACATGATTTATCCTGGGAACATTCAGACTACGATCGACTGTCACACAGGTGATGGAGAAGAATGTTATTTTATATAGCCTAAGAAGTTGAAAGACTTAGCCTGTTGCTTTATTTACATAGTTATTGCTGTTTTATGCCAGCACGGGCTAATTTGCTCACAGGTTATGGAGAAACCATGCATATTAGCTACCACACTTGGAGCGCAGGCGGCATAGTGTTTTGCACCTTGTATCGAGAAACATATGAGTGGTTTGTACAGAGGAAAGCCAACTTCGCTGACAAAATCCAGGCATTGTTTGTGTGGGGTGGCGTTATTAAATTTGATCAAAACCTGTTAAAGTCTTTGTTTAACCTCAAAGCGGTTGTTAATGGTGGGGTGGGAGTAGACCACCTTGATATTCCTCTGATCAATAGCTTTGGAGTCAAAGTTTCCAACACTCCTCATGTGGTGGATAATGCCACTGCGGATATTGGCATGAGTTTGATGTTGGCATCTGCAAGGAAGATAGTTGAAGATGAGGGCTGCAGTTTCCTCTCTAGAATTTCTTCCTAGTTAATCATATTGTTCAGTGAATCCATTGTGAATTTCTTTTTCTATGCAGGACACAGTTTTTCCAAGTTCCGGGAGTCTGATGATTTTCCAAAATTCCTCTCTAGACACTGATGTTAGCGGGGCCACCCTGGGCATCATCGGCATGGGTAGAATAGGATACAAAGATGAAATGTTTGAGATGAAAATCCTTTACCACAATAGGAATCGAAGGTGAATCTGTTGGACTTTTATTGAAATATTCACATTGTCACTAAACAACTTCTCACCCGCTTGAGTAATATGTAATATAAATGATAATATCAGTTTTATGTACATTTTTCAATAGGAAGTGGTTAGCCATTGCATTAAAATATTTGAAAAGTCACTGATGTACACTAGGCTATTGGTCAAAAGTTTGGGGTCAGTTGGTTTCTTTTTTTTTACCTTGCTTTTATTCAAAGATGAATTAATTTGATTAATTAATTTGACACTGAAGACAGGAGTATTTTACTGCTGAAAATTCAGCTGTACCGTCACAGGAATAAATTACATTTTAAAATATATTTTAATAGAAAACAGATATTTTAAATTGTAATAGTATTTCACAATATTGCTATATTTCTGATCAAATAAATGCAGTCTTGGTGTAAGAGACTTTCAGAAACATAAAAAAAAATCTTACCAACCCCAAACTTTTGAAAGGTATTGTATGAACATATATTGTCAATATTGCAAAAATTCCTTTCAGAATTAAGTGTGAAATTACAATGGTGCCTTTCAGCTAGGTTACATATTTAGTCTGTGATTGGGATAAAATGTAATTTTCAAGCTTCTATTCAAGGCCTATGGGCTGTGGTCAGGACTTTTTAATTAACTGTAATACTTAAATTTAATTTTACACTCTTAAAAATAAAGGTGCTTCACGATGCCATAGAAGAACCTTTTTGTCTAAATGGTTCTATAAAGAACCTTTAACATCTGAAGAACCTTTCTGTTTCATAAAAGGTTATTTGTGACGAAAGAAGGTTCTTCAGATTATAAAAAGGTAAGAAAGAGATGGTTCTTTAAAGAACCTTTGACTGAATGGTTCTTTGTGGAACCAAAAATGGTTCTTCTATGGCATCGCTGTGAAGAACCTTTTAAGCACCTTTATTTTTAAGAGTGTACAGTGTTTTATATGTTCAGGTCTGAGAGTGATGAGAGAGCAGTTGGGGCCACATATTTCGCAAGCATGAAGGAGCTGTTACAGAGGTCAGACTTCGTCATGGTGGTGGTCAATCTGTCCCCTCAGATGCACAAACTGATTGGTGCCAAAGAGTTTGCCGTGATGAAACCCAATAGCACCTTTATCAACATTAGCAGAGGTAATGTAATAGGCTGAAACAAAGCAATCCAATTAAAGAGAAGCAGCCCTGTTTGAGAAGAGAACTACTTTTCTTGTCATAGGCTTGGTAGTGGACCAAGATGCTTTAGTAAATGCTCTCCAGAAGAAAATGATACGAGCTGCTGCTTTAGATGTCACGTATCCCGAATTACTTCCCAGGTTTGCTTTGCTTGCCACGTTTTTTAATTAAAGTTGCTTAAGTCTCTATAAGTAAGATAGTAAAATTGCAAGCCTAAATGTTTTTTTCATCCCTGTTGTAGTATAAATGATATGCTTCTTGGTTATATACAGGGATCATCCCCTGCTGTCCTTTCCAAATGTCATCGTCCTGCCCCATGTAGGAATCCACACCGTGGAGACCTCACAGATCATGGTGGAGAGGATGGTGACCAATGCCTTGGCCGCTGTAACTGGAGGCCAGCTTCCTGATGAAGTCAAGGCATAGAGCCAGAGCACAGAGCCATCTGTTCCTCTTTGAGTTTTAACCAGCTAAACATAGAAAAAACGAATAGATTTGGAAATCGTTATATTTTGTTTCATGTTTAAGTTTTGTGATTTGTGAGTATGAGTCGCCTTTTAAATGTTTAATGAATGCTTTTTTATGCTATCTCAATATAGAATATTAAAGGATTTGTTCAATTGAACAGCATAGTATTAGTATAAATTATTTTTTTCTTTCCAACAAAATCTCTTACGATTTCTGGTCTTTAAAAAAATTATCCTGATGCTAAGAAAGAATTACTCAAAAATAAACTTCACAATACAGTCATGTATGGTGTCTTGTCGTACTTTAAACTGCACACATGCTGTTATGTGGATTTTAGGTAACTTATTTCTTGTTCCTTTGTTATTTATATGTAGTTACTGTATAGTCACACACACACACATATATATACACACACACAAACACAGAGAGAAATAAAGAAAAACTGAAACTATCATAATCTAAATAATACATCTCAGAATATCATACAGTTTGTTTCGTCTAAATCTCAGAATAAATTGATAAGGTTAGTTTCAGGGTTTAGTCGTTTTACACACGTGGAGGTTTCCCATTTTAAGTGTCTTGATTGGTTACCTATAGAAAGCAGACTAGAACATATTAAATAAAAAATGGTACATAAGATTATCAATAATAGAGCTCCTTCATATTTTAATGTATTTTTTCTAGGGTAAATGAGCAACATAAAACTAGGCAAAGTCTTATGGATATTACATTATGTCGTTTTAAAACTATGTCTGGTCGTAGGTCTTTTAGATATTCTGGGGCACTTCTGTGGAATAAGTTACCTCTGGACATTAAAGGTACCTCGAATATGGTTAGTTTTAGTTTAAAAGCTAAAAGTTGGATTCTTAAGTAGGTTGTTTTGTTGATGAATTTGTATTGTATTGTATTGTAATTTTTGTATTTATAATACAATGCCACTGTACCTGTTACCGGGAGTGAAGTTTGTGCTTTACATCAAGGACCACAATGGAAATAAGTTTTGTTTTAAACTTTATTGTGTTATCCTTGACGAATAGAGTGTATTCACTACTTTTTTTGTCAAAATAAACAAACAAACAAACAAATCTGCGCCAGCTGTAGCTCATCAGCTCCGCTATATAACACCTGTGCTATCCGTCCTGTGTTGTCAGATCGTTTGGTGTTCCCGCTGTGTTCAGTTCTCTGTTCCTGTCCTTCGTCTCATTGGATTTCGGTTTCAGGATTCGCCCCAAAGGATCGTATGTTCCTGGGATATCTCCGGGTGCCCATTTGCGTCTCTGCGCTACCAAGAGTGACTATATCCTGCTACGTCATCCGCTCACAGCTGCTTCCGTGTACAACAGTGAGCGCAAGCTAGATTAAATTGATTATTACGTTTTAAATATGTTTATTTTCCTTACAAAAATGCATTGATTCGCTACAGGAGGCCTCTGTTCACCCCCCGGAGCCATGTGAGGCACTTTTTATTATGGATGAATGCGCTTTATTTAATTTCTTTTGGACTGATGCACTGCAACACCCGCTGACTGCTATTAAACAGCTTGGAAGATCAAAGACAATTTTTAATAGAACTCCGACTGGATTCATCTGAAAGAAGAAAGTCATATACACCTAGGATGCCTTGAGGGTGAGTAATTCATGGGCTAATTTTCATTTTTGGGTGAACTAACCCTTTAAGCAAGCATATATTTTTATCAATTAAAGTGGTCTGCACACAATGAAATAGTATTTTCAAGAATTGTGTTGTATTAGCTCATTTTAATAAAGGAAAACAGTAAACAGCATAATTTTTGGAGGTGGAAGTCTGAATGCATTTGAACATTGCATTACAACATAATTTTACTTGCAATTTGTGTATAATTGCATTCTCATTCCAAACATAACATTAGTATAATGAACTTCATCAGTATTTTTAATAGAGTTGCTTTTTTGTTGTGGTTTCCATGTTCTTTGACACTGAGCTGGACACCAAAAAACAACACTCAGTTTGCACGAAAATTGAATTCCGTGTGTACATACAAAATAATAATTCAACAAATAATTATATATATACTGTATATATATATATATATAATTGCAACTACTTTATTAAATTAAAGGGATAGTTCAATCATAACTAAGAATTTTGTCATTAATTACTCACCCTCATGTTGTTTCAAACCTGTATAACTAACTTTCTTCCGTAGAAGAAGATATTTTGAAGAAACAGTTTTGGTTACTATTGACTTCCATTGAATTGGCAAAGAAAAACACTGGGACATTTCTTAAAATATCTTTATATTTCACAGAATCAAAAAAGTCACACAGATTTGAAACGATATGAGGGTTTAATCATGATAGAATTGTCATCTTTGGGTGAACTCTACCTTTAGGTTCAAGGGATGCGTTTACTAAGTAACACGGTCAAGAAAGGATTTGGTAAAACTCAGTCATTTCTCGCCAAATAAACAGACTGAATTTGGTGTTTGAAAGCGCAGTGCATTTGACAGGCTATTCAAAGTTTCGTATTATTTTTGTTTTCATTTTCAGGATCAGCAAAATGTATCAAATTCCAGTGAAGAACCTGACAAAACTAAGACGTCCAAGGAAACGCGTCAAAAGTATTTTGTGTGACATCGGGATGCAGCAGTGTCAAGATTTATTGGAGGTTGGTTATTGTAGTAATTATGTTGTTTATACCGGCATCTGTTTAATGCTTGATTCTGATTGGCTGACAGACGTTCTTTTACAACGTGAAGTCGTTCCAGGTCATAACTGCATTACAGTTCATTATGACCAAATTATTTTAGTTATTTCCAAGCACCTTACAAACTATCACAGCAAAAGACAAAAGAGAAATATTGACCCAAAAAAAAGATATTCTCAGTTGTTAAAGTTTCAATGCAACGGAAGTATAGCAACAGATATTGTAAAGTAAATCAAAGAAACAATTCTAGGGCGGGGATTTGGTTCTATCTATCAGCTGTTAATTTGATGGAAGCGGATCTGAATTCGAGCTTCCAGTCGATTATAAGGAAGAGGCAGGGTTTAAGCAGACCATATGATTGGAGAAGTCTGGCATACATAACCAGAGAGGAGACGATTGAGTTATGATATTTTAATTTCTACTTTATAAAAAATATGGGAATGCACGATGGCTGATATTAGTGATTTTTTTTATCAGTGTTAATTGATATTGTATATTTTAACTGTGCATGCTCATTTCTGCCTATGTTTACATTTAGTTTAAGTGAGTTTAGCTGATGACAGATGTAATTTTTAATAATCAATAATGTGTCTTTTTCAGTTATAATGTTGCAGTGCCTAATTCACGTGGATTATTTAAAACATATTTACACAATCTATTATAACTTACACGAAAGTCATTATTTCTGCTAATTAAATGTTCATTATTTCCAACAGACATACAAATGTTTTGATGCTGGTAATGCAAGTTTTGACAACACTGAGTGGGATGATTTTACTGATGGTCATGTTGGCAAAAAGAAAAAAAAGGTGATTATGTACATAACATGTTGCACTGTAAAATATGTTAAAACATTTGTATTTTTAAAAACATTTGCACTTATTTTATTTTATTAAAGAAAGGTGGTGATTAAACTTAATTTTGAGTGGACTGTTTTTTTTTTACACTATACACACTATTTGTAAATGTCATTTCAAGTCAGATTTATCATGGTATTACTTTTGTTCCTCAGTATCCATACCGGAGCCAAGCTCTGTGCTGCAGTCTGTGTTGGTACTCCAGCCGGTCAATACCCACATTCAGAAGTCACATCCATCGCTGTCACTGGAATGATCTGGATGTGGCCTGTTTGTTAATATGCCCCTACTGCCCATTTGTCAGCTCTCCGAAAGTCACAGAGCAACACATTCAGTTTTTCCACATGCTGCCATCAAAAACCCATCGTATACCTCTTCTCAGCAACCCTAGCCACACTTTGGCCCACACACCAAAAACCGTGTCAGTTACAGTTTCTGCTGATGCTGCCGATGACAGATACACGTGCGCAACCTGCGGCTATCATGACTCTTTACTATATGTGATGAAGAAACACGTCTTGGTAAACCACTATGCTGCGATGCTGGATCGCTACTTTGGGCTCGGCTCGGACAGTAAGCAAAAGACTGACACATCAGTGAAATATCACTGCAAAGTGTGCAAACTGCCTGCAGAGACTATTGAACATTTACTCTACCACATTTTGAGTTCAGAGAAGCACAAAGACCTGCACTGGCAAATAATGCCTTGTATAATCGAAAAAGACTGCACAAACCAAATGGCCGGACTACAGAATCTGCTGAACCTCGCACCAAAAGCAATGCAACAGGTCACGTTGCTCGCAAGGCCGAACTATGTGCCACAGCAGATGCAACAAACAAATGGAAACGGTACTGTTCTTCTGGCCGGCCCAAGCAACACGACTGCTTTGTTTTGCTCTCCTGGTGCAGGGCAGATGTTTCTGTCCCCACAAACGCAAGCTTTACTGTCGGGCACGACTGTTGCCGCGCTTCAGAACGCACAACATCCACAGTCCCCCAGTGGGATGCCGCAAGTCCTGCCTACCTCTCCAGTAGTGAAGCCGATTAATATGATGATGCCAAACATGCCGCAAGGCGCACCCAAGACGGTACCTATCACTATGGCCATGCCCAGGCTACCACAGACCCATCAAGCACAGCAGGTTCTTTTTCCGCCTGGCGTTCAGGTCAACCTCCAAGGTGAAATGGGTGTACAGTCACCATTTCTTGTTACTCAAGGTCTTCAGCTGAACCAGTCGGTTCCCAGAGCTCCCCTCATAGCCTCGCAGTCCGTGCGTCTCATTCCCACAGGCAACAACGTCAACGGTGTCCCAACCTACACTCTAGCGCCTGTTCAAGTCGCGGTTCCTGTCCACGGTGGTCCCGCTCAAGTGGTTCTAACGCAAAACCAGATCAGCCAACCTACAAATTCAGCTGTGGTGCACAAGGGTCTCATGCCTACAATTCAGAGGGCGATAAACAGAAATTCTGTGCCGAATGAGTTGGCTGTTCTTGCGCCGTTTTTGAAGAAACATGACGATCACACTGTCAAGTGCCTGAGGTGCAAGATTTTACTGACAGAGCAGGGGATTTTCCAGCATTTGTTGCATGGCTTGAAGTGTCTTTTCTGCTCTCAGATGTTCTACTCTTTCAAGCAGATCTTGGAGCACACCAATAAAGAGCACAGTTTGAAAATCAAGGAAAATCGGCATTTCATTAAAGAACAGTTTAGTCTCAACTGTGACGACGAGGGCAACCTCATGTTTAACACTTTTAATCTAAACACAGATGTGCCCAAAGATCTTCTTGACAACCGAGAGCTCAACCTTGCACTGGTTACCAGCTCTCAAGATAAGCTATACATAAAAATGTATCCAGACAAGGCAGAATACTCAACCACGTTGAAAACGACACCTATCGCCTGCCCGTTTTGCCAAGTAAAGCTCCAGAACTCTGAGGAATATGAGCGTCATCTTCAAACAAAACACCACGTCGTTCCCACCATTCATGCAATACTAAAAACGCCTGCATACAAATGCACATATTGCTTTGGGGTGTATACTGAAAAATCGACACCGAAAACTATCTCCGTTCACGTGCAACGGTGCCGTTGTGCTCCCAAAGCTGTCAAGGAAGCAGAGAGGCAACTGAATCCAGATACAACGGACCGTGATGATGGTGATTTATGTAATTCTCCTCAGATGGCCAGTTCTTCAGACGTGGCCTGTCAGGGGGGCCTTGAATTTGTCAAGCCAAAGAGAGAAGTAATCATTCCGAAGAACAGGAGACGGAACTCAAAAGTTCCAAAGGTAGAAGTCCCTGAAACTCCAGTTAAGCTCGTCTTGGAACCAACGGGAATGGAGATGACATCGTTCGAGGACAGGAAAGACTTCCTTTCGCAGTACTTCCACAGGAAGCCATACGTGGCAAAGACTGAAATCGAACTGCTAGCTTCCCGTTTGTGGATAAACAAGGCTGACGTAAAGGCACACTTTAACAGCAAGCTCACCAAATGCTTGAAAGCAATTCAGAAGAAGAGGGTTTGTGTACATCTCGGGTTCAAAATGATTGAAGTGAACAAGTTGAAGCACAATCTCTTCATTCCAGAAGTAAAGCCTGTTAAAAAAAAATTATTGAATGAGGTGAAACATGGTGGCCTCGTTCCACAGGTAACAGTTAAAAAAGAGGATGTGAATAAAATGGAAGATGGTCTCTTCATTCCAGGGATAACTGTTAAACAAGAGGATGTAAGTGAAATGGAGCATGGTGTCTTCATCCCAGAGGTACGGCCTCTGTAAAAATGGATAAACTGTTTATTAGATGAATTATGTTTGTATGCAGCATGTTCACACTAGGATGGAAACCATTGCAAAGTGTTTATTTAAAATTACTCGATTTACACATTTATAAGATGGTTTGCCTCTTGGCATTAGTATATTTGGAAAAGGGGAACCTACAGCAATGCTGAAAAGACTCTACACTCTGTTTTTGTATTTTTGTTGTGTATAGTTCATATGATGACATTAAAAAGTTTTTTTTTTTTATTGCAAGAAAAAAACACTCAATTTAAGTAATACTTTCTTCTTTTTGTGGACACTTGTAATATACATTTGGGGACATCTGTAGTGAAATAGTTCTGCATCTAACGTTTTATATTTCAACTGTACAGAAAATGAAGATTTGGTTAATTATTACTACTAACTGGCAAATTAGGCTGCATTTCATAGCTGTAACACAGAAAGGGTCATTTTATGGTGTTTTCATGTTTTTGCGCTTCATATACACTGTAATAATTTCAGACATGTGAAAAAAGACAAGTGCCTCTGTGTCCTATTTAAAGTTTGCAGTTGTATTTTGCCTCTTGGAATAAACGTGACTAAATATTACAGGTGTGTGGTTTACTCAAAAAAATTAGTTGTGATTGATTGAACAATTTGTTATCAATTTATTGGTATTTTAATTGATTATTATTTAAAAAAGTTTAAGTTGTTTTACGTTAACAGGTCGCTGTAAGGACTACTGTTATTACAAGAATGTGAATATAAATGCTTGCGGAATCAGATAAACATTGTCATTTTTAAACAGACTACATTACCAAAAACATGCTTCAAAATTTGCAGTTTCGGTATGACGATTTATAATTTAAGGTGTAGAGCGAAATGTGAAAACACTGAACAGAGTTCAATAGGTTACAGAAGTAAAAATCCCATTCATATTCTCCATAGGGTAACTGATTTTGAGAACTAATAAACCTTTAAAGACAGACCTACTGTGAGCTATGAGGTTATAAATAGATGGTAGATGCTTTTGTTGAAGCCATCAGCCTGAATTATTAATATTTATTTTTATATCAGCAAAATATTATTTAAATAATCGTGTTCAACAATGGAATTCCTGGTGAAAAACTACCTTACCCGTGATTCTGCAGAGAAATCTTTACCTCCTAACCCAATATGTACATCTGTCTTTTTTGTTGGATTTTCAAATAGAAATATTTGCTTTAAATAAAAGTTTGTAATGTTGAGATTCACCTCTTAGCTGGTTGTTTTGGTTCATGGCTTACAACTCTTAAATAAAGACATTTAAATCCCTATGGGGAAAATTAAAGGAAAAAATACTTACAGAACCAAAGAACCTGAGATAGAGGACGGGCGCTGTTGCACTCGATTAGCCTTTTGGGCCCCAAGCTGTCCATCGACTCGATCTGAATTCAATTACTTCACCCTTCGTGAATGCTAAAACTGTAATGCGTGAGTGCAAGGATATACTTAGCTGGTGATCATGTTGACTGTCAAAAGAGTTGTTTGATCTAAAGAATGCACTTTTAGTCGGTGTACGACTGCATTAACAAGCATGATCTATAAAATGACAGCACGACCGGAGACAGAGCGCTGGTCCTGGGCTGTTGTGCTGAAAGAAAGTAGGATTCATAGCTCAGCCTGTCTGTCTGGAGGCAATAAACTGATGAAGATGCTGGCCAAAAAGAAGTAAGTCTCCGTTTTGTTTAATTAATAAATAATAAACGCCAGTTTTGACTATAAAGTTGCATGAGTTACATTATAGTTCTTTACAGGAAAAAAAACAATGGTATGAATCTCCTCTGCAGGTAAGAGTTCCTGTAAATACTTTTAAAAATTATTATTATTAACTGCTTTATTTTATGTGTTGTCCTTCTGAGTACTGCATACTCTTTTAAAATATCGTAAATGTTAACAATAAAGCTACGTTGACTCTGCAAGCAGTACAATATGCATCAACTGGTTTACTGGTCTTTTACACATTTTGCCCACCCAGGCCACAGCACTTGGTCAGCCTGGCTTTTTGAAACCATCAACGCGAAATAAAGAGGACCGTGTTCGTGTCAGGACTCTCAACATCATCATCTACAAAGCAGTAGTAGACTTACTGAGCTCCTATGAAGTCAACTCAGAGATCAGTGCCTACAATGCCTAGATTTCCAAAGTAGAATGTGCACTTCCTTCGAAATTCCTTGCCATCATTAATCATACCACATATATTCTATTATAATTAAAAAGATAGTATACCCAAAAATGAACATTCTGTCATCATTTACTCACTCAAGCCATTCCAAACCTGTATGACTTTCTTTTTCTCTGAAGAATACGAAAGAAGATCATTTTAGATCTTATTTTGTTATGTACAGCTTGCAATGACATGAGTGAGAAAATTAGGATTTTTAGATGAACTATTTAATTTCTTCACAAATGCTGTTTTCAGTACTTCCTTAAACTGTTTGTCTCCTTGTCCATGTAAGGTTTCACTATCACCAGATTTCTCTGCTTGTCAAATATACTGGAAGACAAGCCTGTCAGCTGAGCAAGACAGCCATATTCAGCAGGCTTTAAATAAATGTGCTCTGGTATGTATATTTTATTAGCCTGCTTTACTTTTGTTTTAATAAGTTGAAGAAAGAGAATTATATAATTTGGCTTATTGTATTTTTCAGGCACCTTTTGATCTCTAACCAAATCCTTGGCAATGTTCCTCCTGTGGTTTTCATCAGAGACAAACAATATGGTGCTGTCACTGAGGTAACAACGATTGAGTTTATACTGAGTTTATAGCGATAAAAGATGGAATAGCTTATATATATTATTATTTTTATTTTTCTAATCAGATTGAAAACCTCAAGAAAGCAGATTTTGGTCCAGAAGAAGATAACATAAATCACTTATCCACCAACGATGTCGGGTAAGAAGAATTTAGTTCTAATAAAACAAAATTTTTTAAAATTAATTTGTTTAATCTTACAAAGGGCCAAACTGCAGCTTATGGAATCTGAAGACAAGAAAAATCCAGTTTTGTTTGGTGTTGATCACGATGCTCTGCACAAACAGATTGAAACCTATAAACGGGAGAGTCCTGCTGCTGGAGGACTAACACAAGAGCAGCTGGATATGCTAGCAGATATTAGGAAGCAGAAACTCAGAGAAATAGTCCAAATGGATGAAGGATGATGATATCAAAGATTTTCTGTTGTCCAGAAGCCACAAAGAGGACAAAGAGGAGCAGGACAGTGATGAGGACAGCCTGGTGGATAGCCAGGTCACAGAGTTGATGGAAGAGGACAACAGGAGACACTGAAATCACATCTATTGGTCACTTGAAATATTATGCTGTTTAGCGGTGTATAATAAAAATATTTGAGCTTGGGGAAAATTCAGCTTTGCCATCAAAGGAATACATTTCATTTTAAAATAAAGTTATTTTAAATTGTAATATTTCACATTACCGTTTTAAATAACTTCAAAAATCTCACCTACCATAAAACTTTTGAATGGTAGTGTAGTTGATGCTGTATTGGTGCACAGCTTTAAAGTGAGTTTCACTTGTAAAATCATGAATGATATGAAAAATGAAATTATGAAATATTATTAAATTAATTAATGAAGTATCTCAATAATACACAACACCACCCATTAAATAACTCAGTTTACTATTATGATAGCCATACACTGTATGGGAGCTTTATATAAAAAATGTGGAGAAGGCCAGAGTCACACAGTAACTGTTGCATACATACAATGATGGTACATGAAAAATATTCTAAATAATAATAATAAAAAAAAAATCAAATTTCTAAAATAGATTCTTAGTTATGTGCAGCTGGCTTTACTGTGATTAGGTCTCAAGATTTTTGCAAAGACTTGAAACCTTAATGCTTCTGTCAGGAAAAATATCAATTTTTTTGTAGCATGAGGCTGACTATTCACTGCTACTGTTCATTTCAGATTATTTACAATTGTGCAAGATAGGTCCCTATAATCTATATGTATGGCTGCAATAGTGCATTCAAGACCTGACTGGAGTAACTACAGCAAAAAAAAAAACTAGAAGAAAACACTTGAACAGCCTTTGAACTAGCTAGCTAGTAGTTTTAAAACACCATATGTATTGTCTTACTATGCTCTAGTCTATACTGTGCTGGTCTCCTCAGTTTGCACAGCCTCCTGAACATAGACTATGAACTGGGATGCATCTTCCTGCGTATACACTGTGACAGTTTTGATGCCCTCCATTTCATCTGAAGACACCACTAGATGGTGCTGTTCTCCCAGGCCCACTGTGGCCTGCTGCAGTGCATCCTGGATCATCATGGCATGATTGGCCTGCGGCTCCTCCTGCTCCACCTAGGATGATGGGACAGAACATTCTTATTATTAAGAGATTCAAGGAGTTCCTTCATCCTTGAGAATGAGAAAAGCTTAATGTTCTAGAGCTTGAAGACATGCTGTAACTTTCAGAGATCCAAAAAGCACATTCATTGAAAATGAAAAAAATGACTCCCAAATGCCTGACGTCAGATAAATACATAAACACGTCTCACATATCAATGATTCAAACTGGCTGATTAATTAAACAGCTGAAGTTTATTTTTAACATGGTCTCTGAACATTTCAGTCTTACTTGATCGGTTTATGTGGCATATTTCAGCAAATATATATTGGACCCAATATTAGACAGTTTAATTCTAAGGGTCAAAGAGAAAACTAAATGATTGTTGAAGTAAATAATGACGGTTAAATTTTTTGTTAACATTATAAGTAAACCTCAGTGGGGAAAAAATGTTCAAAAGTTTGGGGTCGGTAAGCTTTTAAAAATGTTTTTGAAAGAAGTCTCTTACGCTTATCAAGGCTGCATTTATTTAATCAAAAGTACAGGTAAACATTGTGAAATATTTTTTAAATGTAATTTATTCTTGTGATGACAAAGCTGAATTTTCAGCAGGCATTACTCCAGTCTTCAGTGCCACATGATTCTTCAGAAATCATTGTAATATGCTGATTTGGTTCTCCAGAAACATTCCTTATTATTATTTTAATGAAATCCATGAATTTTTTTCCAGGATACATTGATGAATAGAAAGTTCAAAAGAACAGCATTTAATTGAAATAGAAATCTTTTGTAACATAATAAATGTCTTTACTGTCATTTTTGATCAGCTTAATCCATTCTTGCTGAATAAAAGTATTAACTTCATAAAAATAAAACTTTTGAACTGTATAAGTTATGACCCCCTTAAATTCATATATAGACACTGTTAAGGGGGTCATATGATGCGTTTTTTTTTTTTCCTTCCTCTTTGGAGTGTTACAAGCTCTTGGTGCATAAAGAAGATCTGTAAAGTTGCAAACACTAAAGTCTCAAATCCAAAGAGATATTCTTTATAAAAGTTAAGAGTCAGCCACGCCTACCTAAAACGGCTCGTTCAAACACGCCCCCACATATCTACCTCACTATGTGGGAAGATTTGCAGAACGCCGCCCAAATGTTCACGCAAAGAAAGAAGGCGTAACTTTTATTCTCGCTGTAGTATTGTTGCCGCTGCCGCCATGTCGTGAAGATGCTGTGTGTTTC